ATATATATAATTTTATGACTTCATGGTGAAGAAGGATTTCTTAATAAAGCATAACTCATAAGGGAAAAGTTGATCTGTGACTCTCTCAAAATTTAAACTGCCATGTAACGGAAGACATTGCAAATTGGATTAAAAGACAAGCAATAGACTAGGAGTAAAAATCTGCAATCTATATAACAAAGGGCAAGCATTCAAAGAACTCCTGAAAACCATTAAGAAAGACTCTCCCCCACAATCTGCAAAAGAAAAGTGAACAAAATATATAAATAGGGAACTTTCAGCGGAAAAAAACTTGAATTGCCAATAGGCAACTGAGATACATAAATCAAAATAATTATAAGAGATGATTTTAAATACATCAACTAGACAAAATTAAAACACATATGCATGCCAAGTGTCTGTGAGCATGTTGGGGAACAGGAATCTTTATATGATTACATTCACACTTTGGAAGGCAATTTGGCAATATCTCATAAAGTTGAAAAGGCACACACCTTACAACTCGTCGATTCAACTGCCGGATATACAGCCCATAGGCTCTCTGAATACAGCTGCACAACCCATGGACTACCTTTTGTTTTACAGCTAATGTGCAAGATGACAACCTTCCCTAAAGAAATTCGAACACTTGTGCATAGGTTGTATGTATAAGGATGTTCTTTGCATATAATATAAAGCATTCTTTATATTAGTGGAAAATATTAGAAATGATTTAAATGTCCATTGGTAGGGTGATGGATGAATAAAAGGGGATATACCCTAATAAAAAAATACTATACAGTGATTAGAATGAATGATTCAGCTCTATATCAACATGGAGATATCCCCCAAACCTATTGTTGGATCAATAAAAGAAAGTTGTAGAATGATAAATATTTTTAAAGGTTACATTTGTGTTAATTATAAACACACATACAAAAGCACATTCTATATATTTATGGGCATATAGGTATTACAAGTTTAAAAACACAGACTGGAAAGATGCACACCCAATTCATGATAGCGTTGCCTGTGGGGAGAGAATTAAGGAGGAGGAGAGAGGAGAGGAAACGTCAACTATGTCAAGTTTATTTGAAATGGTTTTTTTTAAAGAACCCAGTTGAAGTAAATAGGTCAAAATATTCTTATCTGGATTTGTTTTCATTTTTTTTCTAAATGAAAATCAAGCCATAGTAATAAAAGAAAATCAGTACTATGATAGAGGAAGTTTAGGATGTTTTGGGAATGCATAACAGTGAGGTCTAACCAATCTAATTGGGGTCAGCAGAGACTTCCAGGAGGAAATGGGAGTTCATCTGGTAAAGGGGATGGGAAGGGCATTCCAGGCAGAGGGAACAGCATGTACAAAATTGGAAGACAGAGTGAAGAATGTTTGAGGAAGTGAATGAAGATCAGTGACCAGGAAAGAGTGAAGAGAGGAAAGATGAGACGGCCAAACCTGTATGTTTTTGTTTGTTTCCTTTTTAACAGATGCAGAAACAGAGTCCTAGTGAGGGGAGTAGAACCCAGGCCTCCTAACTCCCTGTCAATTGCTCTGTGATAATAATAATGACAACAAAAATAATGATGATGATGATAATGATGATGTGCTGTGTGCAGTCTCTCTAGTAGGTACTTTAAATATGTCCTTGCATTTAATCTCACTACAGACCTAGAGGGTTTTTTTTCCCCATTTTACAGATGGTAAAACTGAGGCCCATAGAAGTTAAGAAATTTGCTCAGAGTCACAGTGGCAGAAGCCCAATCCCACAAGGCTTTGTGTGCCGTACTTAGCAGGTTGGACTTTTCCCCAAGGGCACTGGTGAGTGTATTAGGTTCCTACTGCTGCTGTAATTACCATAAACTGAATGACTTAAAACAGTACAAATGTATTAGCATATAGTTCCTGATGTCAGGAGTCTGAATCGGGTCTCACTAAGCTAAAATGAAAGTGTTGGCAGGGCTGAGTTCCTTCTGGAAGCTCTATGAGAGAGTCTGTTTCTTTGTTTTGCCTTCCTCATGGCCTCTTTCCATTCTCGAAGCCAGAAATCATAGCACTGTGACCTCTGCTGCTGTCATCACATCCCCTCTGACTCTTATACTCCTGCCTTCCTCTTTCACTTATAAGGATTCTTGTGATTACACTGGACCTTCCCAAACAATCCAGGATAATCTCCCCAACTCACGGTCAGCTGATTAGCAACTTCAATTCCATCTGCGGCCTTAATTTCCTCTTGCCATGTAACATAACACGATCCCAATTTCCAAGGATTAGAGAATGGACATCTTCGGGGAGACCATTAACTTGCCTACCATGGTGAACCACTGAATGGTTTTAAGCAAGGAAACACAAGGTGAGAACTGCATTTTAGCATCTTCATATTACTGGTTTTAAAAAACTGTCACTTCCCGTGACTCATTTAAGGCAAATTGGGCTTTGTAACAACTAACACTTTCAAAGCCTGAACAGTATATAGATATTAAATGTGTTAAATCTAATAACTACATTTTTTTCCAGGGTTTTTAACCTCATAGAGTTCTTTCCTACCTGTGCTTTGATTATTCCCCCAACAATCAAGTAGAGGTACAAAGGGTTATGTGGTAATTGCCCCCAGATGGATGAGGAAACAGACCCGGGGCATTCGGTCACCTGCCCAGGTTCACGGAGCTGCTAAGTCCAGGGTCATGATGAGGAACTGGTCTTCAGGCCGCCTTCTCGGCATTTCTTTATGCCATCCATAGGGTGGGGACTTCTGGAAAACTCAGGTCAGACAGTACATCTTTTGCAATATTTCATGTATAACCTGGGGCCCAATAATTATTTGTTGAATGGATTAATAACCCTGATTTTACTTCTGAGGCACAGATAGCGATTTTCAAGGCAGGAAAACTGGGAGTCATCCTAGAATTCCTTCCTTTTCCCCACATATAATCTATCTACATGTCGGTTATGCTGCCAAAATACTAATATATGCTGCATCTCTCCCCTTCTTTGCAGCCTCTCCACTCCCTCTTTGTCCCAGGGCACCTCATCTCTTGCCATCTCTCACCATCTCTCCTCAAAGCCTCCCTTCTTTGCTTCTCTAATCTATACTCCAGTTAGGGGCCAATGTGATCCATGTAAATCAGATGACATGGCCACTCTGTTTAAATTTTCCTACTGGCTTTCCATCATACTGAGAAGGAAACTCTAAACCCCCAATCATGGCCATACGTGGTCCTTCATGCTTGGCCTCTTCTCCTCTTTAGCCTCAATCTTACCACCTTCCCTTGGCCTCCTCCCCTCCAGTCCTACTGGCTCTTCCCAAAGACCAAGCTTTCCCACCACAGGGCCTTTGCTTGTGCTGTTCCTTCTGCTGGAAATCTCTCCACTCTTTAAACAGCTGTGTCCTTCTTACATGTCAGGTCTTATCCAAATGTCTCCTATTTACAGAAGTTCTTCCTGTTCTCCAGTTTGCTTCCTCCATAGAAAATTGTGACTGTTTGTAAATGCTTTGCCTATTTGTCTATTTTGTTCACCTTCCCTCCTAGCCCTGATGTCCAGTATGGAGCTACCAGCCACATATGGCGATTAAGCATTTGACATGTGGCTAAACTGAACTGAGATGTGCTCTAAGTATAAAATACACACTGGATTTTAAAGACTTAATACAATTAAAAGAATGTAAAATATGTCATTAATAATGTTTAAATATTGACTACACATTGAAATGATAATATTTTGGCTATACTGGGTCAAATAAAACCATTAGTAACAACCTGCTTCTTTCTACTTTTTTAATGTCGCTACTAGAGAATTATGATTACCCATGTGGCTCACATTGTATTCCTACTGGGCAATGCTGGTCTAGACCGTTAGCCAACAAAGGTAGGAACCACTGCCACCTTATCTGTTAGGGACACCCCTAATGCCTACCATATAGTGGGTACTCAGTAAGTATTTGTTGAATAATTTGGTTTATATGAGAACCTTGGACACAGAGCTGAGACAGGCAGCCCCATGTACACTGTGAATTTGAGGAAGAAAGAAATACCAAAGAAACAGTTTTATTTTCCTGCAGTCACTGCATTTCAGACAGGTTCCTCCGACCCTGTCCTTCTCTGTACCCACATTCCTCCCACAGTCACTTACCACTACAGATGGAGGGGGGCAGGTGACGGCTAGAGGAGTAAAGCTGGTTCAGCTGCTTCTATTTCAGTCCCACAGGAGGTGTGTGCTCTCAGTTATTTCACATTCTCCATCTTTGGTCCTAGTAGCAGCACACTGAGACATACCGTTTGGGTAGCTGGGAGCCCAAATGGATTTGCCCAAGGTCACTGAGCAGGTCAGAGGTGAATGAATAGGGCCTGGAACCCTGGTCTCCAGACTCACCTTCTGAGACTCTTGCCTCTAACTACATCCTGTCGTAGTCTCCTTTACTCCAAGGAACCCAGGTGACTGTAACCCTCACTCATCTCCCTCTCCTCACATGCACCTCTGATTTACTGGGGCCCCTAAGCAGAGTTATGCCTGGTCCCAGCAGAGCTGACCCAGATGGCACTATCCTCAGAGGCCAAAGTATATGGGAGGAAGAGATGGGAGGACGGCTGGATGAATGAACAGACAGACGGAACAGTGAATGGATGGAGTGGAGGATGGGAGGACAGACTGGCTGCAAGAGTTGGGGAGGAGGATGGTTGACTGGTAAGATGCCTGCATGGGGGACGGAGCAGGGAGATGTACAAAGGGAAGGAATTACCCACTTTTCTCGTCTCAAACAGAATCTGAAGATCAAAGTCCAGCCCCCATCACGTTTCTGCTAGAAAACCGAGGCCGAAGGAGCTAGGCGTTTCGCCCCAGGGCCCGCAGGGAGGGCCGGGCAGAGCTGGAGCTGGGATCCGAGTCTCTGAGCCCGCGGCTGGGGGCTCTCTCCGCCCCCGCCCCGCCCGCGCCTGACGGTGCCAGGGTGGGGGGAGCGCCCCGCCCGCACCTCCGGAGGTGGAGGCCCCTCGCGGCCCCAACAAGCTGCCGTTGTCCCGCGGGCCCCGGGCCCGGCACACTGGGGCTTTGTCCAGCCCCCCGCCGCGACCCACGGGTGGGGGGGCGGCCCACATGACCAAGGGGGTAGGAGGAGCCTGCAGCGGCGGTGGCGGCGGCGGCGGCAGCGGCGACTCCAGCATTTCCCTCCCTGGCCGGGGGTCGGCGGGCGGTGGCGGCGGCAGCGGCGGCGGCGGCAGCTGGGCAGGGCTGGGCCGAGCTGCGGACGCCAGGCCCCCCGATCCCCGCCAGGCTGCGGACACCAGGCCCCCCGATCCCCGCCAGGCTGCAGGCGCCGGGCCCGGGCCGTCAGGGCAGCTGTGACCCTTGCGCTCAGCGGGTGGCGAGCTGGGGGTGCGCCCGGATCCCCGCCCCCGGGATCATGGGGAATGGCATGACCAAGGTAGGGGCCCGGGATGGCGCAACCCGCACCTGGCCGGCCCCAGCGCCGGCCGGGCGCCCGCCTCTGACCTTCTGGCTCTGGCGGTCTGTGTGTCTATTTCTCTGTCTCCCTGGGACCCTGAGATCGTACGTCTCTGTCTGTCTCTCTGGGGCGGTATCTCTCTCTGACTCTGCCTCTCTGTGTCTCTGTCTCTGACAGTTTCTGTGACTCTGTATTTCTTGCTGTGCCTTTCTGTGGCACTCTTGTCACCCCCAGACTATCTCTTCTGAGTCCCTTTCTCTGTCTCCATGTGTCTCTGTCTCCCCGGACTCTCTCTAACGCTGTTTCTCTATCCTTCCCCATCCCCCACCCCAAGGCACGACCCCCATCTGTCCCTGCCTTCCCACCTCCTTCTCAGAATTCCCCATCACCCACCTTAGAAAGTCCACCTCTCCCTTTGCCCCCTCCCCTGTGCTCCTCCCCCCCTCTTTCCCTAGGTCTTTGTGCCCCTCCTTCCTCTTTCCTCTCCCCCTACCCAGGCTGGCCTCCCTTGATGCCCCCCTGCTGCCCTCCCCAGACATCACTCATAGAGCATCCAGGCCCACAAGACGGGGGTGATCGCTCCCTGAGTCCTGAGGGCCAGACGCCCTTCATGGGACTGAGCGGGGCTGCATGCACCCCTACCCGGCTGACCCCGGCCTGTCTCTCCTGTAGGTACTTCCTGGACTCTACCTCGGAAACTTCATCGGTGAGCACCGCCCATTCTGTCCCAAGGCCATGGCACACTCCCTGTCCCAGGCCTGTGTCCACCATTCATGCTCCGGCCCACGCACCCTGGACACGCTCAGGAATGGGGCCGGGGGCAGGGAAGCGATGCCAGGCTGGGAGGGTGAAAGAACTCATGAAGACTAAGGGGGACGTGGGTGGAGGAGTGTCCCCAGTACAGAGGGCTCCGAACACTGGACACTGGGCAAGGCTGCACCTGCTCTGAGCCTCAGCCTCTCCCACAGCACAAGGCCCACCCCCGCTTCTAAGGATTTTGCCAGCCCTGAGGTTCTGGGTTGAGGTCTGTTTGGAGGTGTTGCTTCTAGCTGGGAAGCTGCGAAGGCTTCCTGGCACAACCTCCTCCTCAGAGGAGAGGTCTCTAGAGACTGGACTCTACGTCAGAAACTTCACCGGGGAGCACTGCCTGCTCTGTCCCAAGGCCACAGCACTCCGCCTGTCCCAGGCCTGGGCTAAGAGACAGGCTGGTCCGGAGCTTGGGAGACCCAAGGCAGGAAAAGTCACTTCCATCTGTGGAGTCAGAGAAAGCTTTAGGGAGGGAGGGGCATCTGCACTGGGGCAGAGCTTTCCCCATCCACTCCTGTCCCACTCTGGCTTAGGGGCCCCACTTTCCTAAACCCTGGTCCCTTCCCCCACGGGAGCTCCCTCAGCAGCTCACACCACACCGACTTCTGAATATTTGGTAAGTAAGGTCTGAATCCCCTTTAAGTGTGCAGGCCCATGAGGGCAGGAGCCATGAACTTGACCCCACAATGCCATGCCCAGCCAAGGCTGCACATGGTAAACGCTCAGTAAATGTGGTGAATGAGGAAGTGGGCATGTGGAGATCAAGTGTTATTTCTTCGATTATAAAAGGTCTGCATGCACTGGAAATCCAGCCCCTAGAGATGGCTACTGATAGCTGTGGGAGGTATATCCCTGGGTTGTTTTCATGTATCTTTGTACATATAGATATAATATTTAAAACAAAAATGGAGGCCTATTCTGCATGCTGTTCTGTAACCTGTGTTTCCCATTTAATAATATATTGTGGGCTTCCTTGCACATCCGCACACAGAGATCTTGTTAGTGGCTGCACAGTATTCAAGTATGAATATACCATTATTTATCCAGTCCCCTTGTGGTTTGTTCCCTTTTTTTTTTTTTTTTTTGGCTGCATTGGGTCTTCGCTGCTACACGCAAGCTTTTCTCTAGTTGCGGCGAGCGGGAGCCACTCTTCATTGTGGTGCGCAGGCTTCTCATGGCCGTGGCTTCTCTTGTTGTGGAGCACGGGCTCTAGGCGCACGGGCTTCAGTAGTTGTAGCACGCGAGCTCAGTAGTTGTGGCTCGCAGGCTCTAGAGCGCAGCCTCAGTAGTTGTGGCACACGGGCTTAGTTGCTCCATGGCATGCGGAATCTTCCCGGACTAGGGCTCGAACCCGTGTCCCCTGCATTGGCAGGCGGATCCTTAACCACTGCACCACCAGGGAAGCCCAGTTCCCATTTTTAACTGTTTCTGATGTGTTGACAGTCATAAGCAGCAGTGCAGAGAACCATCTTCTACACACAGCTTTCTGTGTGAGTTAACCCTTCTGTAGTCAAGATTCCTAGAAGAATTGCCTGGTGAAGGATATGCCACAGAAGGGTGTTTGCAATGGAAAGAACAGCAGGGGCAAGGCTGGGGAGGGGCTGGGCTGTTACCTGTGGGTGCCCCAGTGGAGAGACTGAAGCTTAGGGGTGTGACAGGACCTGCCATGCTGGGAGCAAGAGGTGGTGAAGGAGTAGGGAGCCGGCAGAGGGTGGGCCAAGGTGGAGAGGGCGGGCTGAGCGGGAGAGTGGGGCAGTGAGCTCCCGCCTCACTTGGCCATCGGAGTATATAGGTCACACCTGCCAGATTGGCTCAAGCATCCTTGTTTCTTGCAGACGCCAAAGACACGGATCAGCTAGGCCGGAATAAGATCACACACATCATCTCCATCCACGAGTCACCCCAGCCTCTGCTGCAGGTAAGCCTTACCCCCATCCCAGAGCTGCACATGGGTGGGAAGGGGGGTTTCAGACCCCCACAGTACCCACTTATCAAGTACCTACGACGTGCCAGATCCTCTACTGGCACACAGGCCTTCCTGACCCATATGCTAACTCATTTGCTTAAAAACTGGCCTGTTTTACATTAGCATCCCTATTTGCTCCCTCTCTGGCAACTGAGGACCAGAGAGGTAAAGTAACCGGCCTGAGGTCACACATCCAGGAAGCTAAGGAGCTGGAATTTGAACACAAGCCATCTGGCTCCAGAGGCCTCACACTAAACCTTAAAAAGTCTCCCACAGGGGCTTCCCATTGTCCAACTGAATAGATGACTCCACGTAGATGTTTCTGGGCTCTGTGTCTCGCTTGTGACCTGGGGCTATGATTTCACCTGTCTGGGCCTCTGATCCCTCAGTCCTATCTGCCCCCAGGGGACTGTGACATGGTAAAGATGCTTTGCACACTGTACAGCACGGCCCCCACTGGGAGGGTTGGAGCTGGTATTATCGAATCCTGGAAAAGACGGGGTGAGGGTGTTATGACCTAGAGTAGGGAAGTAGGAAATCCAGGCCACATGTGCTGGAGTCAGGAGCTCTGAGTTCACATCTTCACCACATTCTGACTGTAACCTTGGGCACAGGACTTCACTTCTCTAGACCTCAGTTGCCTGATCCATAAAAGGGGAATTTTATAACAGTACCTACCTCACTGGGTTGTTGAGAGCCACAAAATAGGCGCTCAGCAAATTATAGCTGACATAATAACAAAGTTAATCATATTCTCAATCGGTAAACAGAGCCCCTTCCTCTTTATCTGTTAGAGTCTGTCTCACCCATCGACGGGAGAGAACTGTGGGTGGGAAGGGACTCTGGAGATCTGAGATCCAGACCGGGTTCTGTCACAGCTTTGCTGTGTGCCCTTGGGCAGGGTCCTCGCCCTCTCTGGGCCTTAGTTTCCCCTTGTGTCAGATTTGATGGTCTCTAAGAGCTACCTCCAATAATCTGTGGTTCTCCGTGTCACAGAGACACTAGAAGAAATTTCCAGGTCAATGGAGTCTGATTTTGCTTTATAGAGCAGGCTTGTTTTGGAGTATTTGGAGTATGCAAGTCACTAGAGTGCCTGAGGAAGGTTGTCTAGGCATGACTATATTTACTAATGAAATGACTGCTGGCAAAATGAGTCCCTGCTCCGGCAGCCCTGCCCTCTTCTCCCTCCCCATCCATCAGTGAATTTACCAGTCAGGGTTTGATAATGCCCTGCAAATCCAAGGCCAAATGTGTTGCAAAGCGAATTTGCGAACCTTGCAAAAGATGCAGGCTCATGTGACCTTGGGGAGAGTGAGTTACAGAGAAGGGCTGGAATCTCACACAAAGCCACTAACAGATGAGGACCTAGCCAGGCGGTCACTTAGTCACTGGCTGGAGGTGCGCCAGTCCCTTGAAAAGAGCCATTTGAATATCAAAGGACTAAGAGAGGTCCCTGAGAAAAGTGATTCTTGGAATGTGGGCAGGGCTCATCTTTAAGATCTTGTGTGAAGGTTAGGCGTGGAGTGAAAGATGTGGTAGCAAGTTTGTTGGAGAAATTCCTGACAATTCATTCCTTGATTATTTTAATAATTAGCACAGAGTTTTATAACCACAATTCATGAACTAAAACTAATCTTCATATTTCTTGTTTCTTTTCAAGAGAATAAAATCTGCTTTGCCCTTCTTACTGTGTAATTTTGTAATCCTTTTATGGAGGGGAGTCAAGTTAAGTGGCCCTTTCCCAGCTATTAAATAAAAGGTCCCTGAATCCTTTTTGGCAAGTCTTTGTGCCCGAGTCAGCTATGGGGTTAGGATACCATCTTCTCAGAAGGTTCTTGAACCACAGATGGTCAGACCTGGGAGGCCCTCAGAGGAGGTGTCTACCCTCTTTGGACAGAGACAATAACAGTGGCCCAGAGAGGGGCAGGAACTGGCCTAAGGTTGCGAGGTGCTTGGGAGGCCCAGGCTGGGGTTGGGGTGCAGGCTGCCCATGTGTGTTTTGTACTTGCAGGACATAACCTACCTTCGCATCTCAGTGGCCGACGCCCCTGAGGTACCCATGTAAGTTCCTCTGGACGGGCTGACAGATGGACAGACAGCTGCTTCATGTGGGGGGAAGAGGGAGGGTGGGAGGTGGTCTGAGGGAGGACAGAGAGGACTCAGGCCACAAAGCTGTCCTGGAGACCCCAGCACAGGTGTTCTCCCAGACCACCTGGACTCTGTCTCAGCCACACCCTTGCCTATGCCGCTGGCCAAGTCTTAACCTCCCAGAGCTCAGTCTCTTTGGCTATGAAATGGAGAAAACACCCTGTCCCTCAGGCTCAGACACCCCAGTGGATTTGAAAGGGTCAGGCTCAGCCTGTTCCTGGCCTTGGAGTTAAGGCATCTGGGTTCAGGCCAGGCTCTGCCATTTACTTGCTGTTTGACCTTGGACAAATCACTTCCCCTCTCTGAGAGAGAAAATGCGTGTGTGTGAGGGGTTGGGGCCATCAGCACCAAGGAGGCTGTCATAGATCAGATAGCACAGGTTGAGGATCTAGGACAGGGCCTGGCGTGTAATGAGGGCTCAGAAAGCAGGATTTTGGTTTATGTTATTAGCAGTAGTACACCCCAGCCTGGGAGGGACCCAGACAGACACTCCTGCCCCTTGGGACTCTTGCTCCCAGCCCTGTTGTTGACCGTTATTGTCCCCAGGCGCTCTGTTTGCAGACCCCAGAGGGGTGGGACTCCTCGCACCCATTTCCTTGAAAGGTCAAGATAAACCCTCCATGAAAATAGGATCCACAGGACCCGTTGAAGAGGTGCTCCTGCCTCTGTGGTGGGATTTGCCAGCATTGGCCTCTCTCACCTCCTGAAACGCCACCATTATTGCTTCACACACACCTCCACCAGTACTACAGTGTCAGCCCCTAGTCACTGCACGTGCTGGCTGACCTGAGGATCCAGGGCTCTGTCTCTTGCCATCCCAGAAATGGGGTGGGGGACAACTCCTAGGAGACCTGTCCCCCCCCCAGTGCTCTGTACCTTATTGCTTTCTTCTCTAGCAAAAAGCACTTCAAAGAATGTATCAACTTCATCCACTGTTGCCGCCTCAATGGGGGAAACTGCCTTGTGCACTGGTGAGTTAAGAGGGGAGTGGGGGGAGGGGAAGTGAGTGGCCTTCCTCCATCCTGAACATGCCCTCATCCTGTGGGGAATGCAGAGCCTGCGATGGATCTTCTCCAGCCTGTCACGATGCCTGACAGTCCACCATTCGTCTGACAGGCTGATGGAGGACTCAGATCAAGGCTCTGTCTCTTACCAGCTGTATGGCCATGGCCAGATAGCTATTTCTCCCTGAGACTCAATTTTCTCATCTGTAAAATGGGAAAAAAGAATGTTGACCTGGCGAGCTATTGGGAGGAATAGGTGAGGTCAGGCAGGTAGCCCAGCATCCTTCAGTAATTCCAGCTCCTTCTCCTCCCCTCTAGCCTTTGAGGCAGTAGTACAGGGCAGCGAGGAGCCCCAGGCTGGGAGATGGGACCCCTGAGTTTTCCCAGGGGCCCCTGGCCCTGTTGATTTCATTCATTCCATAACTTCTCACTACGCCTGGCTCAGGGTAGCTCTGCCTGAGCCCCAGCCCTAGGGACGGCTCCTCCAGCCTGCCTCTCCCCCTCTCTTCCTCCTTTCCTTGCTCCAGCTGTGCTGGCCATCTCCCCATTCTTCAAGTCCACCAGGATCCCACCCACATGGTCTTTGTACACTGCCCAGAACATTCTTGACAATCCTTACCCGTCTTTCAGGATTCAGCTTGATGTCACTTCCTTGCGAACCCCTTCCCTAATCCTCCGCATCCCTTCCACTAGATTAATACCTCTTCTTATACAATCTCCTAGCCTCTGGACTCATCTTCGAAGCAGTTATCACCACCTGAAATTGTTTCCCTTGTTAGCGTCTGTCTCTCCCAACCATATTGTAAGGCCCAGGATAGCAGAGACCATGTCTGTTTTATTCTCCACTATATCCCCAGTACCTGAAAAATCACAGATGATCAGGAAACGTGTACTGAATGATTGAGTGAAGTGATGTTTCACTCAGGCCTTTGATGTGGGTGAATGCCAGGCAGAGGGAACAGCATAGACAAAGGCCTGATGTGGGAAGACAGGTCCTGGCAGGTTCCTTGTGGTTGGAGCTCAGGAGGCAAGGGTGGGAGAGCTGAGGTGGGGATGGGGTGCCTGGAGGACACGGAGAAGATTGGGCCTTACCTGAAGCCTTGGGGTGGGATGTCCCAGCTTTGCAGGCATCTCCCGAAGCACCACCATCGTGACGGCATATGTGATGACTGTGACAGGACTGAGCTGGCGGGACGTGCTTGAAGCCATCAAGGCCACGCGGCCCATCGCCAACCCCAACCCAGGCTTTAGGCAGCAGCTTGAAGAGTTTGGCTGGGGCAGTTCCCGGAAGGTAGGGGCAGGGGCAGGGGTGGGAAACTCTTCTTACTTGAGCTGAGCACTGATTGGAAGGAATTTAGCCTGTGCTTCAGACCCGGCAGAAGACTTTTCTGGGGTCTTGAACTCGTGGCTCTTGAGCTAACCTAGCCCCTAGGTTGGACGGCCAGGTGTTTCCTTTTCCTTTTTAACTTAGGATTTGAACACCCGTGGGCCTGATTATGGACCCTTCAGTCTGGCTAGGTTCCAGCATTGCCTGCTCTGCCTACCTGGAGCCTGAAGGCATTTGAACATTTGGCTCCTCTGGGGAGACATGTCCAGTCCTTATTCCACCCCTGGGTCCTTGATGAGGCCAAAGCAGTTCCTTCTCTTATGCCCACTGGGCAGATGGCACGTGGAGATGTCGGGGACTGAGCCGCGCCCTCCCCCACCCGCAAACGAGAGATGAGAGAGAGAAGCAGTCAGTGCAGGAAGGCAGGCTGCTGCCCAGAGACTTGTCTGCAAGGCTGCATTAGGAAAGAGGCAGGCAGGGAAGAGGGCCTGCTTGAGTAGAGTTGTTGGGCAGTGTGGGGAGGGGTTAATGTGGTCCCCACTGTGCAGGTGGGGGCTCGCTTTAGTAGGTCTGGAAGATGGAGTGTCAAAGGGGAAGGGGATTCAGGGAGAGGGGAGGGATTCGGAGGGAGAGGGGCTCAGTTAGGGGGATGGGGACGCAGAAGGGAAGCTAAGAGGATGGTCAGGACGGGAGGGGCTTAGCGAGGTGTGGGAAGCTCGAAGAAGAGCGGAAGCTCTGAGGATTGGGGAGGGGACCGAGCCGGCGGCCTGGCACCGACCCCGACTCCACCCCACCCCAGCTTCGCCGGCAGCTGGAGGAGCGCTTCGGGGAGAGCCCTTTCCGCGACGAAGAGGAGGTGCGCGCGCTGCTGCCGATGTGCGCGCGCTGCCGGCAGGGCTCTGCGAGCGCGGCCTCTTCCCCCGCGCCCAGCTCCTCGGCCTCGGAGGGGACCTTGCAGCGCCTGGTGCCGCGGTCGCCCCGGGAAGCCCACCGGCCGCTGCCGCTGCTGGCGCGCGTCAAGCAGACTTTCTCTTGCCTCCCGCGGTGTCTGTCCCGCAAAGGCAGCAAGTGAGGATCCTGCCCCGCCGTGGCGCCCCTCGGCCTCTCGACCGGGGATTGTCTGCGCCTCCCACGGCCTTCAGGACGGGCCCAGAGCCTGTGGGAGCCCCGCGGCGGCCTGATCCCCGCCCCTGTCCGCTTCGCGCCTTGCTTGTCTGCGTCCGCGGTCAGTGTGTCCTCCATCTGTGTGTGTGGCTCTGTGTCTGGGCCGGCCTGCTGCAGCTACCTGGTGCCTTAGTTCTTGGGCTGGGGGAGGGTGCCCCCGGCCCCCGCTCCCATTAAAGGCGGTGGGAGTGGGAGTGGGTGGATGGGGTAGTTGGATGGGCCTGGAGGATATTAAAGAGACACAGAAGCTGCCTGTCTAATCGCCTCCCAGTCGTTCCTTCATTGAGCAAAGGCAGGGCTGCAGGACTCTGCCAGGGGCTGGAGCCTGCCGGAAAAAAGAATGGGAGGGGGTTTGCATCCCCTAGGGCCTGTGGAGGCTGCCACCCTCCGTGAACTGCAGTCTGCAGGGCTGAGCTCCACTTCCCTGACCCTCACCCCTATCTCTCCCTGGAGCCCTGGTCTCCTGAAAAGGCTGCCAGCTCCTCCTCTCTGAACCCCTTTCCCCCTGGCTGAGCTCCTGTCCTCCCTGAGCACTGCCCCCCCCCCGCCTCCTCCCCAGCTCCTTTCCTTTCCCTATCCACAAATCTTAGCTAGTAAAGGTATAGTAGTAGTACCTGCCTCATGCCTGACTTTTTACTTGAATGAGTTCACTTACTCCTCGGGGAGGAAACTGAGGCTCAGAGTGGTCAGGCAGCTTGCCCAAGGACACACAGCTAGAGTAGGGGAGGCTGGGTTTGAAGCTAGACACTCTGTGTCCCATGATGGTTGTTAAGAAGCAGCTCCTTCTGGTCTTGAAGGTTATTGGCAAGGAGGATCCACCCCCAGCTAGTGGGAATGGCCCTCCCCACCTAGAGATTAAAGGTCAGGGGAGCCACTGTGGAGGGAGGGTCTCAGGGCAGCCCATAAAGCAGCAAACTGACTCTGAGGATGAACAGGGGTCACCTGAGCTGATTTTTCCTAAACTAAAATTAACTTAGAATTAAGAGAGATCTGAAATCTCTATAATCTAATAAACACCTGTATGGGGGTTCTTATTATGCACCAAGCACTGTGTCCAGGGCTGTGGCGGAGGCCCAGATTCCAGTATTCGGGTTGGGAGGATGGATGAAATAACCTTCACCTGCTACCCAACCTCCTCCTCTGCATTCATGCAACATGAGTTCATTGAGTACCTACTGTATGCCAGGCATTGTACTGGGCACTGAAGACACAGCAATGAGCAAACCTGCGCCCTGGTGTTGCTGACATTCTAGTGGGAAAGACACTAGATAAACAGATAAACGAAAGAAAAAATATGTCCGGGGGACTTCCCTGGTGGCGCAGTAGTTAAGACTCTGCGCTCCCAATGCAAGGGGCCCGGGTTCCATCCCTGGTCGGGGAACTAGATCCCACATGCATGCTGCAACTAAGAGTTCTAATGCCTCAACTAAGGAGCCAGCCTGCCGCAACTAAGACCCAGTGAAACCAAATAAATAAATATTTTTTTTAAAAATGGGGGGCTTCCCTGGTGGCACAGTGGTTAAGAATCCACCTGCCAGTGGACACAGGTTTGATCCCTGGTCTGGGAAGATCCCACATGCTGCGGAGCAGCTAAGCCGCACGCCAAAACTACTGAAGTCCCCGCGCGTAGAGCCCGTGCTCTGCAACAAGAGAATCCACCTCAGTGAGAAGCCCGCACACCTTAACGAAGAGTAGCCCCCGCTCGCAGCAAGTAGAGAAAGCCCATGTGCGACAACGAAGACCCAACTCAGCCAAAAAAAAAAAAACCTCCATTCCTATCATCTCTAGGACAAACAAAACCGCTTGATCTGATGTTCCAGGTCCTTCATGATGCTCCCCGCCCCCTTCCATTGCTGCTTTTACCACACTGTGGCTCAATAACAGCAATAATACCACTCATTTATTGAGCACTTACTGTGGGCCAGGCAATGTGCCAAACACTTTACCTGCATCTCATTGAATCCCCAAGCAGCCCTGTGAAGTGGCTGGTCAGCTAGCAAGTGGTGGGGCTGGGATTTGAATCCAGGCAGTCTGGCTGTGGACCCCATCCTTGTCATTACTATGACTCTGCCCACCCACCCCCAGAAAAAAATGAAGAGATTGTCTGACACAATCAATACTCCTGCTTAGATGTAATTATTACTCTTGTATTTATTATTTTATTTTATTTTTTAATTTTTTATTTTATTTTTGGTTGCGTTCGATCTTCGCTGCTGCACTCAGGGTTTCTCTAGTTGTGGCGAGCGGAGGCTACTCTTCGTTGTGGTGCGCGGGTTTCTCATTGCAGTGGCTTCTCTTGTTGCGGAGCACAGGCTCTAAGCGCACGGGCTTCAGTAGTTGTGGCATGTGGGCTCAGTAGTTGTGGCTTGCTGGCTCTAGAGCACAGGCTCAGTAGTTGTGGCACATGGGCTTAGTTGCTCCGTGACATGTGGGATCTTCCTGGACCAGGGATCGAACCCGTGTCCCCTGCATTGGCAGGTGGATCCTTAACCATTGCACCACCAGGGAAGTCCCATACTCTTGTATTTAATCATATGAAATTTTTTGTGCTCCATCAGAGTCCTACAGCTCTGATTTTGAATCCTGGCTGTGACTGTAGAAATGTCAGAACTGGGTGGCTGCTGCCATATGAGGACAGAAGGTGGGGATCATGAAGCAAGGCCCCTGACAGGTACACATGAGGGACAGTGCTCCCAGCCTCTGGTCAACACTGGCTGGCCATCCAGCTGGGTGCTCCCTGCAGTGAGGGGTGGTTTCTCCCTCTCAGAGCCTCAGTTTTCCCAGGTACACAGCCAGGGTGGAGCGGTCTGAGCTACTTGACCTCTTTCATATCACAACCCCCCTTTGACAATTTAATGAAAGATACAAACCCTAGAAAAATACGTAGAGATGAAAAAATTGCATACACTTTGGGCGGGTCACGGACCCCACCCAGAATCCATAAACTCCAGGTGCAGCTGTTGGGAGGCAGTGTGGGGCACTGTTCAGGCCCCTGGGCTCTGGGGGCAGAGAGTCCTGGGTTCAGATTCTGACTCCCCCAGGCACTAGCTCTGTGACCTCAGTCCTCTTAACAAAGTAGGTAATTACACTCATCTCACGTGCTGTTGTGAGAACCAACTGAGACACTGCAGAAAAGACTTCAGCCAGGCCCAGCACCACGGTGAGCAATCAGAAAGGGACTCCCAATATTTAAGGAAATATTTCTCCAAGGGTGACCCATGGACCACCTGGATCAGAATCCCATGGCGGGACTTGTTTAAAATGCACGTTCCTGGACTTCTTGCCCAGAAAATGGGATTCTTCAGGTCTGGGATGGCGGCTAGGAGTATGCATTTTAAACCAGTCTCTGCCTCCCAATTCTACTGGGAGTTAGTCTGAGAAGCACTATGCTTTTCCCACCTCTACAGTCCAGGTCCTGGAAAGAGACTAAGTTTCCGGTAGGCTGGGAAGAGCAGAAAACAGGTGCAGGGATGGTGCAAGGGATGCCTCTGAGCGCCCTTCGGGGGCCCCCCTCCAGGGATGAGCAGAACCCGGGCTACCCCACCCCGTACCCTTCAGTGGGTCTTGGTGGTGCCTCTAGCTGCCCCCGACGTGAGGACCGACGCCCTCCGGGCCAGGCGACACGGGGAGGGGCGACAGGGCCTCTGGGGAGCAGAAAGGAAAGTGAAACCTCCTGCCCAGCCTTTCGCTTTCGCCGCCTCCACTCGCCGTCCAGGTGGCCCCCGCGATCCCCTGTCGCGCTGGGTCTGGCCGCCGCGCTCCCCAGACCTGGTCCCCGGAGCACTGTGTCCCCGATGGCCGGCGACCAATGGCGGAGGGACGAAGGGAGGGTCCCCGACAGCAGGCGACTCATGGCGGGGGCCGGGGGTCCCCTGCGTCTCCGGGACTGGCTGGTGGCGCAGATCGAGAGCGGGCGCTACGCTGGGCTGCGCTGGGAAGACGCGGGCAAGACCCTCTTCCGCATCCCCTGGAAGCACGCAGCCAAGCAGGGCTACCAGGCGCAGCAGGACGCAGCGCTCTTCAGGGTAAGGATGCGCGGGCCGGGGGTCGCCAGCCCGGCCCGGGAGGGCTCTGCGCTCACACTGTCGCAGAGTCCGGAACCGACCCGACACGCTGTCACCTCGGGCCACAGGTTCACCCCTTAACCTCAGTTGTCTCTAGGTTGAGGGTAGTGTTCTGTATACATGGGAGACCCTCCCACACCCTCTTAAAAGAGAATCAGACAAGGGCTGCATAACCTACACCATCCCCACGCCTCAGGGGACCTCTCCTCCCTCTCCTTGAGGAAATTAGATGCCACCGCCACCATGGAAATTCCCTCCACTTCCCACACGTAAACTGTTAACCCCAGCAGCTTCGGGGACATTTTCTGTGCTTTCCAACACCAGCCCTTCTCAGGGACCTCCTCCAGGGATGCCCTCCCTTTCCTTAGACACCATTAACTTCCTCCAAACTGGCTCTTTCCCACCAAGATTGAAACTGGAATCTCTCCTGTGAGCAAAAAGCAACCAACCGCATCCCAGGCCACCGCCACCATCCCAAACACCACGTCTCCAGCTCCTGCTTCTCTGGCCTCCCCTCTCCTTTCACAGGGTGAAGCACCTAGAAAGGGTCTTCTGGACATCAACGCCCTCACTCATACCCGCCCCCCCGCTCCTCCCCCACCCACAGTGTGGCTCCTCTCCCTCCTGCTAACGTCTCTAATTTTGCCAAATCCAAGGATGCCATTACTATCATCTTCTTGGACCCCTGGGTGGGTTTGTGTCTAGTGGACCCTCCCTTCTTGAAACAGTCTCACTTGGTTTCCAGGATCTGTGTCCCCTCCCCACTCCAACCCTGACCTGTTTTCCTCCTACCTTCCTGGACCCCGCTTCTCAGCCTCCATCCCTTCTTCTCCTCTTTTGGGGCTCTCAGCACTCTCTCTTGGACCTCCCTCCTCACGTCCCACTCTCCCCTTCCACAGCCTCAGTGTGGAGCCCAGCGTTTCCCAGCCTTCCAGCCAAGCCCCAAGCCTGCTGGTCTGACAGCCCAGACCTCTCAGACTCAGCACCTCCTTAATAGCACACTCGTCAGCTCCCTCCTACAAACATCTGTATTTCCCAAAATGGAAGATGGCACGGATCGCCACCTAGACCCCAGAGCTGGGCACCTGAACCCTGGCCGCTCCCCTCTCCTGCAATCTCATTCTAATCCATTTCCAAGGCCTTTGGCTCTTACTGCAGAACTGCTCTTTCATCCGTCTACGTGGACCCGTTCCCACCATCTCTCACCAGGATAACTGAATGCCCTGCTTTCCCATCCCTCAGCTCTCCCCTCAGTCCTCCAGAGGTATATTTCTAAATGTAAATCTTGCCTTGGCACTCTCCTACTCAGAGTCCTTCCGTGGCTCCCCATTGCTCTTGTGATAAAGTCCCAACTCCTTACCAAGACCTCAAAGCCCTGCATGAACTGCTCCTCCCTGGCCTCTGTCCGTCTCTCTCCACTCCTTCCCCAACCTTAGACCCAGCCAGACAGTTCCCTTCAGTCTCCAAATGCTTCCTGTTTCTCTCACCGTGAGAACTTTGTACATTCTGTTCCCCCTGCCTGGAACACCCTTTCTTCTTCACTTTCACTGGCCAACTCCCATCATGCTCAGCTTAAACATCTCTTACTAAAGACAAGCCTTCCCTGATGCATTCATTTGCTTAATGCATTTATGAAGCTCTCAGTGCTTCTCCCAAGTCGTCCCTGATTCCTTCTGCTTCCTCCATGGAACCGCTTTCCCTATGAATTATAAGTGCCTTGTATGAGTCTGCCTCCTCCAGCTGCCCGTGGGTGGTGACCTTGAGTGCAGTGCCTGGCCCACAGAGGACTGGTTCAGGAAGTGAACAGGTGGTTACCTGGCCTGCCCCTTAAGGCTATGTGCTGTTCAGAAGTGGGAGGTTCTGGGGACTGGCCCTCCCTGTCCCTCTTTGGCACTGCTTTAACCCATCCCTCAACACACCCCTGACACACACATGTGACTCCCTGGCTTCAGGCCCTCCTGGTGCCTCAAAGTCCACGGGATAAAGCTTGGCTTTCGAGGACATTCATGATCCAGCTTCAACCTGTCTTCTTCCTTTAATTCCTCTTCCCCTTCCCCCCCACCACATACAGTTGGTCCTCATTATTCACAGATTCCATATTTACAAATTCTCTGACTCGCTAAAATTATATGTAATCTCAAAATTGATATTCAAGGCACTTTTGCAGCCATTCACAGACATGCACAGGATGGCAAAAAAAAAAATTGTCACCAACATGCATGTTCCCAGCTGAGGTTGAGCAAGGTGACAACTCTAGTTTCAGCTCTTCTACTGTAAACAGGTGTCCTTTCGCAGACAATATTTAGTCCATGTTTTTAATATTTTTGTGCTTTTTGTTGGTGACTTCACTGTTTAAAATGACCCCCCAGCTTACACAGTGTTGCAGCGCTGTCAGTATTCCTGAGCACAGGAAGGCTGTGACGTCTGTAAGTTTCTTTCAGACGTGAGTTACAGGGTTGCTGGCCATGAGTTCACTGTTAATGAATGAACAGTTTATATTAAATAAGGTGTCCTTCAACAGAAACGCTCATAGAACAAGGTTATGTATTGACCAGCTGATGAAAATGGGGTGACCAGAGGCGCGCAAGAACCTAGCCTTGTATTTCCCTTAGGAGTGATGGTTCAGTGTTTGCTAACTCAGTGGTTGTGTAAATTTTATAGAACACAACTACCAGGAATAACAAGAATCAACAGTACACATACCCTCAGACACGCACACCAGCTCCAGTCACACCAGGCTGCCCACTGTCCCCTGCACGTCACGCGCTTCCATGCCTTTGCTCGAGCTGTTCCCCCTGCCGGGAACGTCACTCCACCTGGCAACGTCCTATTTATCCTTCGAGGCCCAATTTGATTCATTCAACAAATACTTATTGAGCATCTCCTGTGTGCCAGGCACCACTTTAAATGCTTAGGGGCACAGCAGTGTCCCCAGAGATCCCTCTCTCATCATGGTGATAACACCCTGTGCCTTGAGCCCAGGTTACCTTTGAGTTAGAGCATCCTTAACATAATGAATAAGTACTGCAATAAATAAGCAGCGTGTGCCAGGTGCTGTGCTAAGCACATTACATAGACCGCTCATCTTACACGTGCCACAACCAGGTGAGGTTAGGTATTATTGGCACAGTTTACAGACAGCAAAATCAATCCTTAAAGGTCTCACCACTGGCAAGAGACACCAACAAAGGAACTGTGGCTTTTCAGTCTGGTGTCCCACTAAGCCTGGGATCTCCTCCGAGAGCAATGACTGAGTGTGATTTATCAATTAAATCCCCCGCCCCCCATCCCTGAAAGTGAGCAATGCGAAGAAGACATCTCCTACTGTCCTCCTCTTTGACTACTGTGCTCCAGCCTCACTGGCCTTCCTTGAATCTCTCCTACCCCAGGACCTCTGCACTTGCTGTTCCTTCTACCTAGTACAGCCTTCCCCCAGATCTTTGTCCGACTCCATCCTTCTTTTCAATCAGGCTTCAGCCCAAATGCCACTTCCTCTGCGAGGCCTTTTCTGATCACCCTCTCTAAAGCGGCCCCTCATATTTATTTATTTATTTAGTCCCTCTACCACACCAGTCATTCTAATGTGTTTAATGAGTACCTTTGGTTTGTATGTTTTCTTGCAAAGTGGGCATTGCTGTTTCGTGTGTATTCTTACCTTATATACATCATAATTGTGTCATAGATCTCATTCTGTGTCTTACTTTTATTTCACTCAAGGTCATGCTCTGAAGATCTATTCTTGTTCTCTGTCCATCTAATTTGTTTCTAGATGCTGCCTAGAACTCTCCAGTGGGCATCTATTACACGCACTCCCCCACCTACTTTCCCAGGGATGGACACAAGTTTGCTTTCCAGACCACAAATAACGCTGCAGTGGATCCTTGCCCTGGTCCCCTCGTGAGCCTCTGTGAGAATTCCTTTGGAATTGGCATTTCTGCTCACAGGGTATGCTTATACTTAATTGGACTAGGCATGCCTGATTGCCCTCCAGAGACTCTGCTCCCATTCCATGCCCACCAACTGTGTCCACATCCCAACCAACTACTGGCTTATCCAACTGGCTAAATTTTGTAAGCTTACAGGTGATATCTCATACTTTTATTTGCATTTCTCTGGCACTAATGAGTTTCAGTACCTTCTCCTATGCTCATGGGATTCTGGTTTCCTCTTCTGTAAACCACCCATCCTTGTCCTTTGATAAGAATGTTTCTTTAGGGGATGCTTTCTGTTTCTTACTGATTTGCAGAAGTTGCTGTATGTTCTAGATCTTAGCCCCTTGCTGATTTAAGACATTGCAATGTTTTTGCCTTATGGTTCATGCCTTTAAAGTTTTGGTTAAGAAGCATTCTCTGCCCCAGAAGATTTTCTTCTACATTCTTTCCTATTAAGTTTATAGTCTTACCCCTTACTTTTGGTTTTTTAATCATCTGCAGTCCACTTTGTTTGTGGCAATAGGTAAGGATTCCGTTTTATGGCTCTCCAGATAGCAAGTAACTGCCAGCATTTTATATCCCATCGTATTTTTTTTTTATTTATCACAATCCATAATTTGGAATATAGTTATTTCCTTTCAGCTGTTTGCGGCTGCCTTCTCCCATGAGACTTGAGTTCCTTGAGAACAGGGACCATGTATGTCTTGTTGTTCCCCATTTAGTCCTTAACTTGGGCCTGGCACACAGCAGGAGCTCAAGGAATATGTGTTGGATGGAGGGAGGGAGGAAGAGAAGGAAGGAGGGAGGGGCCGAAGGACAGAGGGAGAGAGAGAGAAGGGTGGGAGGCAAGGCAGCCCTCATCCCTTTCCACGGCACCATCCCCATCTCCCACGCTATTCCTCCCCCAATGCCCCTGCTCACCCCCAGGCCTGGGCCATATACAAGGGCAAGCACCTAGAGGGCGTTGACAAGGAGGACCCCTCCACCTGGAAGACGCGGCTCCGCTGTGCCCTCAACAACAGCGCTGACTTCTGTGAGGTGCGCTCGCTCAACCAGCTGGACATCTCCAACCCCTACAAGGTCTACCGGCTCCTGTCTGCTGGTGCCCACAACCCAGGTACCATCCTGTCCCTGGAGGTAGCAGCTGAGGATGGCTCTCTGGGCAATAAGGACCTCACATTGCCCATCTGTAAAATGGGAAATGGGCTTATTGAGCTTAAATAAGCTCATGGGCTGGTAAACCTAGAAGGACCTTACAGTTTATCTGCCCATTCGAAAAGGAGGAAACTGAGCCCAGAAAGAGGTGGGCCTTGCCTGAGATCATGCAGTGAGCTGGGCTACTCTGGTCTGGGCTCACCTCAGACAAGGTTGGGGGGTTCCCCTTGGGGCCCAGGAAACCACAGACTATTTCTTCCTTCATCCAGTTACCAGGGCTTGTGCCCCCTGTAAAGAGGAGGGCATTCTTCATAGCCAGCAGTTGCCCCCTGGAGAAGTGACAGAGCCGGCCTGCAAGACAGAAGAGCAGGTCAGTGAGTCCTTCCAGCCCCTACAGCCTTGCTAGCCCAGGCACCTCGCACCCATACCACCCCCTGTATAATCTCCAGCGCATTCATCTCATCCTCTCCATCAGCTCCTGCCCATCTCTGTTCCCATCCATCAACTCTACTTCCTGCGTCTACTCTATCTCTGCCATCATTTTCATCTCCTTCATTCTATTCTCCTTGACTCCATCATTTCTGTCCCATCGTCTCCACCATCTTCACCTCCATCTCTCTTTCTGCGCCAGCCCTATTTTCTCCCATTTCAGCCCCTCTTCCCTGTCATCATGGGATCAATCACTCTGTCCCCACTCATCCCATCAGATCCAGTTCCATCACTGTATTCCCTTCACCTGCATCACCTCTAGCTCTCATTGTTGCCATCACCCCATCATCTCTATCTCCATCACTGTCTGTGTCACTCTTACTCCACCCCATCACCTCTCCCCCGTCATCTGCGGTTCATTCCTCTGTTCCCATCTCCCCATTAGCCTGGTTCATTCCACTGTCCCAAGTGTCCCCATTCCATTGCTCTATCACCCCATTTCTATCACCCCATCTCCTCATTCACTGCTAGCACTTTTCTCTCCCTATCACAATGAGCTTCACCTCCCAAAACCCCATCAACTCTCTCTTTAACTCTACGGGGTAAACTTCAAAGTCCCTATCAAGCCCGGCTGGCTTTCAGTCTGTCCAGACCTCCCCCTGCCCCAGTTTAGACTGTCTGGGAGCTCCTGTGGCCCACAGGTCTCCTCTTCCACCCTCACGACCCTTTCTCCTGATGCTCAGGTTGGCTCCAGATTAGTCACAGAGGATAAAGACAAGAAGCAGCCCCCCAGGCTGGCCTCCCTGCCCCCAGGCCCTTTGGCTGGCCACAGTAAGGACTGGGTCTCCTCACCCACCCCTGCCTCCTCCCCGGCCTCTTCCAGGACCTTGATCTAGGGGTCGAGGGACCCAGGGTGAGGCGATGCCTTACTGCTTCCCCTCCTTCTCCAGGGTACCAGGCTCAGGATCCTGCTCACCCCTGGGGCCCCTTGCCTTCTGAGGACTTCAGCAACCCCGGTAAGGAATCCGAAGGCCCTCTCCCCTGACCGCTGTGCAGAACTGGGGAGGACCTAGGGTTGGTGCCGAATAGCCTCTGTCTCCCACCCAAAGCACCCAGCCCAGACTCCAGATAACAACAGCTAACATTTGTTGAGGGCTTAGCTTATACCAGGCATCCTTCTAAGTCTCCCCACAGCCCTGTGAGATAGATACTGCCATTCTCCCCATTTTACAGATGCAGAAACCAGACACAGAGGTTAAGAACCCTGCCCAAGGTCACACAGTTAGTAACCCTGGGAAAGTTACTATCAGATCACAGCTCCTAAGGGGCAGTGAGAGATTAGAACCCAAGGGCCTGGCTGTAGAGCCCACAGCCCTAACCACTGAGCATACTGCTAGCTCTTCATATGGGAGGCTGCTGTTTTGTTGTTGTTGTTGCTATTGTTATTATGATTATTATTTCTACCGGCATTAAAAATATTTACCCGGAAGAAACTCCTAGAATCCCAGAAATCTGGGCTGAGAGGGCGTCAGTGTCATGCCCCCATTGTACTGATGGCCCCAGACCTATGCTTTTGAAGCTCAACTACCAGTTTGTTTATACTGGAAGCTGCTATTATTTGCTACCACCACTACTACTAGAATTACTATTATTACTTATCGGGAGGGAGTGTCAAAAATTCCCGAGGTAGCGGCCGGGTGACCTCTGGGTTCCCTGCCCTGTTGTGAGGGGAGGGGAGCCGGCGCCGCCAACGCCGGGCGCGCGTCCCCTCCCTTTCCCGCAGATTTTTGGCTGCACGTGCGACTCTTCTATGGCGCGGAGCTGGTGCGCGAAGCCACAGCGCGCGCGGCCGAGGGCTGCAGCCTGAGTCCGCGCGCAGCCGCCGCTGCCGCCGAGCTCCTGCTGGGGTCGCCGCCGCGCGTCGCGCAGGTTCGTTTCCCGGAGCCGCCGCCCGGCGCCCGCGTCCTGCGGCGCCTGCTGCCCCACCTGGAGCGCGGAGTGCTGCTCTGGGTGGCGCCCGAGGGCGTCTTCGCCAAGCGCCTGTGCCAGGGCCGTGTGTACTGGCGCGGCCCGCTCGCCCCGCACCGCGCGCGGCCCAACAAACTGGAGCGAGAGCGCACCTGCCAGCTCCTCGACACGCGCAGCTTCCTCGCGGGTAAGAGCGCGACAGCGGGGCCGCTGGCGGCGCGGGGCGGAGTGGCCGGGCACTGGGGTCGGCAAAGGAACTCGGACAGAGGAGAGTGGGCACACGAGATGTGGGCGCGGGGCGATGGACTTGACGATGCTGGGCTGGAGTGGGAATGGAAACAAAGGACATGACGCAGAAGCACCGGGGATGGGAACGAATATGGGCATCGGGAGGGCTGGGCACAGATTAGACATAGGCGTATGGGAGGTGTAGGCACGAGGCAGGCTGGGGCACTGGGTGTGGGACATAAGCATAGGACTTGGGCACGTGCTGTCATAGGGCGTTATGCATAGGGTGGGCATCGGGGGCACTGGACACAAGATAGGCATAGGTGAGTGGCAGTGGGCATGGGGTGGGCATAAAGGCATGATAGTGAGCATAGGGCAGGAGGCACGGGGCATGAAACCTAGAAGTGGGAGCAGATGTGGGACATGAGGCAGGTGTGGGGACGTGGAAGTGGGCATAGGGCATGGGCACACAATGGGGATGTGGGCTTACGGGACGTGTGCATAGGATGTGAGCACAAGGTGGGCACCAGGTGGGACGCCCCATCTTGGCCCAGACCCCACAGTCTCGGTGCCCGTAGAACTGAGAGCCCACCTGCATCATGGTCGCCAGGAGCCCGAGTACCAGATCCGGCTGTGCTTTGGCGAGGAGTACCCGGGGCCCCCGGACCAGCCTGAGGAGCGTCTCATTATGGCCCATGTGAGTCACCTCCCACTCCAGCGGAGAACCACACCCTCCAGCCTCCCCGAACGGCCTCTCATTGCTCCCTCCAGCCCCAGCTCCGCTCCGGACCTGCCTTATCTGATCTGGAAGACCTTGCGTGTAAAATGCATGTGGAGAGGCGCTGTCACTCCCGCCCCCCGACCCCAACAAAGGGTGTGGGTAAAGGGGAAGGTTGGCTCATTGCCCCACCCCACCCCCACCCCGCAGGTGGAGCCAGTCTTCGCGCGGGAGCTCCTCCTACACTCGAAGCTCCACGGCCAGGTGCCTCGGTGGCGCGTTCCCAGCCTCGCATCCCCGACAGCGTCACTCACCTGCTGACACAGCTGAGTCAGCCCTGAGCGGTTGTTTCCCCCTCCCGTACCCTCTACAGCAGTCCCCACAGGGTGCAGATCCCACCCCAGCCCTGCCCTAGCTGAGCCAGGGGACTTTAAGTCTCGCCTCACTCATCGCCCAGGTAGGTTGAGACAGCGGAAGCCAGTCACGGCCTTCAACCTCTCAGCCAATGAGATGGAGCCCCGGGAACCCAGGAAGGAGGCGCGTAAGCGGACAGCCGGGCAGCTGGGCCTGGGGCGTCAGGCTTGGGAGCTAAACTCGACCTTGAGGTTCCAGAAATAGCAATTAGGTCAGAAACAAGACTTCATCTTTTTGTGAAGAGCCGGACAAGCCCATAGCGGTTTACCTAAAGCAGACCTTACCTGCAATTGATCCATTATAAGGTTTGCTTAAAGCTGAGTTTACTGGGAGTTCCCTGGTGGTTAGGACTCTGTGCTTCCACTGCTGGGGGCCCAGGTTCGAGGGATCCCTCGTGGGGGAACTAAGATCCCACAAGCCGCCAGGTGCAGCCAAAAAGAAAAGGGGCTGAGTTTACCAATAAGATCCTCCGCATAGATTAGACTGAAGCCCAACCAGTAACAGAATTGCCCCACCTCTGAGGGGCTATGAGTTTCCAGACCCTCCTTTCACCTGCCACAAGTCTCTCTTCTTTTGGGGTGGGTGGGGATTGTGAGGGGAGGGGGTCCCAAAACAGAGGACTTAGCCTGAACCTGGGGCTTTAAATGCTAACCACTGAACCACCGCCAGTAGATACTGTCTTTGGAGAAACTGAGGCAGGCCTAGGACAGAAGCCAAAGTGGGAGCCAGGAGTCCAGCCCCTGCCCAAGCCCCCCCAATCTTTGCAAACTGTAAGTTGTAGGGAGTCCTTGAGAATTGGGAGGGAGCCCTCTCCACCATGAAAGCAGTGACCCTGCCTTGTCAGTAAAGTCACTGTTTTCTACCCCAGATATCAGACCTTTTACCTTTTCTGATTTCTGACTTTATTTATAGGAATTCTCTTACAGATGGCAACATAATAAATCTTTTAGTGGTACACTAATAAGCCACTTTTATGGGGGGAAACCTGTATGATTCAATAAAGGGCAGAATCAGTCTTAAAATTCATTCAACGAATGTTTATTGAGCACCTACTCTGTTCCAGGCAGATACTGGACACTTGGGATAGAGCAAAGCATGGTTCCCTATTCCCTTGGGGGTCACAGCCAGTTTTCCAGTGGGGGCCCAGTGACAGTCCTCTACCCCTGCCCTTCACGGAAGGAGTAGTGTTAAGGAGTTACGGAATTCTGGGTTGAAATCACAGCTTTATCACTGACTAGCTGTGCCACCTCAGGCGAGTCACTTAACTTCTCTGAACCTCACATTCCTCATCTACTCAAGAGAAGCTATTAAGGCCTCTGGAGCAGAGTTGGTCTGAGAAGTAAATGTCGAGAGGGGAGGGGAGCTGGCCTGGCATGGAGAGTGGCACACAGTAGGGGCCCGATGACTTGGTTACTTGTGGGTGGGAGAGTGTGGAGGAGGTTGCCCCATCCTTCAGAAGGCTTGACTGTTCTGGGCTTCGCTGTACCCTCGGCCCAAGGCTGCAGCTATCGGGGAGCCTCAGCTCAGGGTGACAGTTCTCGTCATGCCCAAGCCCCTACTCTGTACCAGGCTCTCAAAGAGCACTGGATTCAGTGTAAGGGAGCCCGTTGCCTCTCCACCACAGCCCGGACAGCTGCAGAGTCTTCAGCTCCATTTTAGAGATGGGAAATGAAGGCTCAGCCAGGGTCTTGGTTGAGAGCCTCTTGGGAGGGTGGATGGCTCTGTCCAGATGTCTGTCCTCCCCACACTAGTCACTAGAGGGCGCCAGGGCTCAGCAAACGGGGTTGGGCCGGCCCTCGTCCCCACCCTAGGTGCCCCACCCCTCGTAGACCCCAGAGCTAGGAGGGCAGGGAATAGTGTGACCTCGAGCGCTCTGCACTGTGGGGAGAAGAAAGTAGACCCCAGGCCTGGGAGGAGGAAGAGAAAAGAAAGGGGGAACCAGAGGTGGGGACTCGAGAGGCCCCTGAGGCTTTTCTCACAGGAACTCCCTGTTCTCCAGTTCAAACACAGATGCTACCTCTCTCCTCTCTCATTAATGTGTGTGTGTGTGTGTGTGTGTGTGTGTGTATTCCTCTTCCTCTCTGTGGATTCCTTTCTTTCTCTCATTCAGTGATTCTTTTTCTGTACTCTGTGTGCACGTGTGCACGTGCGTGGGGCTGGCTCTCTGTGTGTCTCCCTGTTTTCTGTCTCTTTCTGCTCTTTGTCTCTCTTTAAGTCTCTGCCTCTATCTTCTCTGTATGTTCCTGTCTTCCTCTTATTATGCCCTTACCTCTCTTTGTCTCTGTCTCTCTGTCTCTTTTCACTCTCTCTTTCCATCTCGGCCTCTATCTCTCTTTGTTTCGTCTCTGTCTCGCTCAGTTTCACATCCTGTCCCTCCTCAGCCACCACCAGCCAGCACATGTGGGCTAAGGGTCTCAGTCCCTTCCCTCCTGTCTCCTCACCCCTGGCAGCTGCTCACGGCTTCCCAATCCTGGCCTCTCCTGCCCGCCCCTCTTGGGCCTTGTGGGAGGGGGGCGAGGGAAGAAGGGAGGGCAGCCTGGCGGGCCCACCCCTTTTTGCCTTTCCAGGCTGGGAGGCTGGGCCAGTGGGCCTTTTAACCAGCCTGGGCAGGCTGTGCCGGACACCAGCCCTGGACACCGTGCCTGGCCCCCGTGGTTCCGGCAGCCGCCAGCCTGGCCAGCCCGGTCAGCATGCAGCAGCAGCCCCCACCCGGGCCCCTGGCCCCTGCGGCCGAGCCGACCAAGCCCCCCTACAGCTACATCGCCCTGATTGCCATGGCCATCCAGAGCTCACCGGGGCAGCGGGCCACGCTCAGTGGCATCTACCGCTACATCATGGGCCGCTTCGCCTTCTACCGCCACAACCGGCCCGGCTGGCAGAACAGCATCCGCCACAACCTGTCCCTCAACGAGTGCTTTGTCAAGGTGCCCCGTGATGATCGCAAACCGGGCAAGGGCAGCTACTGGACGCTGGACCCCGACTGCCATGACATGTTTGAGCACGGCAGCTTCCTGCGCCGACGCCGGCGCTTCACCCGACGGGCAGGCGCCGAGGGAGCCAAGGGCCCCGCCAAGGTGCGCCGCAGACCCCTCCGAGCCACCAGCCAGGACCTAGGAGCCCCCGACGCTGCGACTGGCATGCAATGCCCGTTCCCACTGGAGCCGCCAGAGCCCAAGGGCCTAAGCTTTGGGGGTCTGGTGGGGGCCTTGCCAGCCAGTGTGTGCCCGGCCACCACCAATGCCAGGCCTCGGCCACCCTCGGAGCCCAAGGAGATGCCCACGCCCAAGCCTGCAGGTCCAGGGGAGCTCCCCGTGGCCACCTCATCTTCCCCGAGCCCCGCATTTGGCTTTCCTGCCAGCTTCTCTGAGGCTGAGGGGTTTAGCAAGGCCCCTGCCCCCATCTTGACCTCCGAGGCCACCATCGGGGGCAGCTACCAGTGCCGGCTGCAGGCGCTGAATTTCTGCATGGGGACTGATCCTGGCCTTGAGCACCTCTTGGCCGCAGCAGCCCCCTCCCCTGCACCACCCACCCCTCCAGCCTCTCTCCGGGCCCCGCTGCCCCTGCCAGCAGACCCCAAGGAACCCTGGGTTGCAGGCAGCTTCCCTGTCCAGGGAAGCTCCGGCTATCCACTGGGGCTGACCTCCTGCCTATACCGGACGCCAGGAATGTTCTTCTTTGAGTGAAGCCAGCCGGCCTCAGGCAGTCCCTGCAGAGACTCTGCCAGCTACGCCCTCCAGGTTGAGCCTGACTCTAGGATCTGGGGAGCTGTCAAAGGACGCGGGCCTGGCAAGCCCACAACAGCCGGGACAGGAAGCCAAGACTGGCGTGGTGAACACTCAGCCAGCGCCCAGGGTCTCTGGACAGACTTGGGGGTGAGGGGAAGCAGGGCTCCCTTGGGATTTACTCTATGGCTCTCAGGGCCAATAAAGCCAGTGTGATGATGAGGGTCAGTTTGCTGGATGGTTGGGGACTGAGGGCCAGGACACCTGGCTCCGTGGGGGGCGTATGGTTGTGGGGTGGTATGGCAGGGACGGGGGACCCCAGATAGGAATGTCCCACATGAGGCTTTCTCCTGCTGGGGACCTTCTCAGGGAGTTTCCCAGGAAGGCCGAGGAAGTGGGAGCAGGGAGTGGGAGAGAGAGAGGAGGGATGCAACCAGGAGAGACACCAGGCAGGAGTGAGGCTGGGCTGGACCAAGGGGCTGATCCTCCAGCCCCAAACTCTGTGACAGCACCTCACATTGCGAGCAGCCACAATACCTGTGACCATCTGTGGCAGTTATCCTGTCCTGGGCTCGTGTATATCCTTTCAACGAATCCTGGGTGGTACGGAATGTTACCTCCATTTAACAGTGGTGGGAACTGAGACTCAAAGAAGTTGGGGCTCACTAGCTCCGGCTCCAAATGACCAATGAGTGGCAGAGAGGAAATCAAAACCAGGTCTGTGTGGCTCTGCCCCCCTTCCCCTACCTGCAGTTTGCGTGAGGATGCAGCGTGGCCCACAGGGTGACCCCCGCCAGAGGGAGGCGGGCTTTTTTTGAATCCTGGCATGCCAGGGTTCAAAAGCCACCCCTCACCCCTTGCACAGACAGGGAACCCAAGGTTCAAAAGGCAGGCACACTTCCCTTGTCTGGATTTCTGGCGTGACTGGGAGAACTCCCCGAGCCCCCAGCTCTCTGAGGTCTCCTGGTGACGCTGAGAAAGCATTTCCCTCATGGGGGGAGGCGGTGGCTACCCTGGGTACAGATTAGAAGAGACTGAGCCTCGACCTTTGGCCTTCTGTAGCTGCCCCCTTGGGTAGAAGCAGGAGAAGTGGGTATAGTCGTGGTCCCCATCAGAGGAACAACTTAGGGACCTGAAACCTCACTGTCCCCATACCCTCCAACACCAGACTTGCTGAGGCAGATGGCTTTCTTCCGGAACTTCAGTCCCCCCACCTGGATCATGGGTATAGGGAGAGAAGAGGGGCCAAGGATACTTTCTGGTCTTTGCTGGAGGGTCTTATGTCCCATGAGGTGATGCTCAGGCGGCTGGAGACCCCTTTGCTGGGCAGGCAGCCCTGTCCCCTCCAAAACATCCCCTTCGGGCAGGCGGCCACGCTGGCTTCAGTCTCTGTGGCTCCCTCCTCCCTCCGCAGGTCCCCTGGGGCCTGGGAGGAAGTGAGCCCGGCTGGACAGCCCCAACTGTCTGGTTCCCACAGACTCCAGAGCCGGGGTGGAGGGGGCACCTGCAGGGTGCGGGCTCAGTGCGGCCAGAAGGGGGTGGAAGAATGCCCGGCCAGCTGTGCGGACCCTCCCTAGTGTGTGTGCCGGACCCCAGCCTGGAACCCATGGAGCAATGGCGGGAGGGAAAGAGGGTCTGTCCTGTCGCATTCAGGCAGCCTCGTGGCTGAAAGGGGGACAGAGGCCTGCGAGTGCAGGGCACGGGTGAGGAGAGGTTCGCACCACCGTGTGTGCCTGAGTGGGTCAGTACGTCTCCAAGTGTACTTGAGTGTGTGTGTGTGTGTGTGTGTGATGCGCAGAGACAGTTACGGAGACAAGGACAGATTCGGGGGGGCGGGGGTTCTTTCTCAGCTGGGTCAGGGAAAGAGGCCTCTGCCGGGCACTGTTCCCTGTGGTGCATTCCTGTGGAGACCTGGTGACCCCAGTCCTTCCCAGCCTGTGTCCTGAGCTCGTAGGAGGATGGGGAGGCTGGCCCGACTCGGGGATCCCAGGCTTCTGCATCCTGCCCCGCCCACCCCCCCGATGAGGTTGAGCATCTAACTGGGGTGGGAGCCTGGGGGGAAGAAAACTGCCCATGCTCTGAGGTGGGGGAACATGCAGAGGGGTCAAGTGCACACAGAGGCACAGACTTAGCTCTGGGCATGAGCCCCCTCCATGACCCTCTCTGGTCCCTCCAGAGAGTCAAGAAGTGAAGACAGTCCCCTCAGCCCCAGTCCCTAAGCAGGGCCCTGGGCTCAGAGCCTGCCTTGGACTTGCTGTGTGAGCCTGGACCAGTGCCCATCTCTCTGGGCCCTGATTTCACTCC